ACTGTTTCCAGCACTGCGGGCAATTTCTGACTCTCGTCCACCAAGCGACGCAGCTCCGCATCGGCAGCATCTGCCGCCGCACTAGCTGTGCTTCCGCTTGAACCACCGCTGGCTATCGTTGGGCCCAGACGCTCATCGCCGGTGAGGAACATAAAAATGGGATTCGTATCGGTGCCCGCGGAATAGCAGGAAACCTGTGTGGAGTGTGTCAGCATCTCGCCTCCGCTCACAAGCAGAACTATATTGGCAGCGGGTAGCTGGTGCAGACGCTGAATTGTCTCCTTTAAATTCTCGACCGAAGACAAAGCAACGGTCATATCGAAGCTAAGCATGCGGCCGACGTCCACATGGTAGACGTACAACATCATGTGGCAGATGTCTGTCTATGTTAAAGCTCGAGCTGTTGTTGATGGGGTCCTTCTCATCTACCGCCTCTCTTTCTACTTTGCAACCTCCTTCAACACTGCGTCTTCTCTTTGCTTGGCAGTGCTAATGCTTATTAAATTCGTACATGCGCATGTGTGTATGTGTGTGGTGGTAGCACCTAGCGTTCAGGAGCTGAAAAACAATGGCAAAAGAATGCAGAACAATATAATTTCTAAGTATTATATATTTACAAATATTTTACATTTTTGTACATACATGTAGGTAACAGTTAACAGTCAGTGAACATTCGTACTTGATCGAGTGTTAGCGATAACATTTGCGCTAGTTTAGACATTACGGCGCTGCAGGTGGCGGGCTGCAGTTCAAACGTTAATGACTAAACAAGAGCCAACGTCGCCGTCTTTGTTGTTGTTCACGTTTTAAAGTCGCAATAAAGAACTAGTTGTATTTTTGCTATTGTGTCAGCTTACTCAATTCAATTTTGTTACATACACTTAATACATTGTTTACATTTTGTCTGGCAAACTTTGGATAATGTGTGTACGTAACAAATAACACCGATTTGGCTGTGTTGCCCAAGCGCACATAAGCAACTACTAATGTTATAAACAACATACAACATACAAAAATAAAAGAAATGTTTATCGACGTGTGAGGGAAACTAACAGAAATAACAGATGTCGTCAGCGATGCAACGACAGGGAAACACGTGTGCATGATACTTCCATTTTAATAGATGTATGTATGTACGCACACAGATACACATATGTGCCTACATGGATATACGAGGTCGATCATAAGACCGCTTAGAGGGAGAGTTGAATAAAGTTAAGACTTGCGTGTTGTATTACCTGACCCATGCTTTGCTGCTATTTTGCTATTTGCTAAGTTCTTGTTAATGTACCTACGTGAATTTAAAAATGTTTCAAAAGCCAATTTTACCTTCCTAGTAGTCTTTTCATTACTGAAAATTCGTAGAAATTACTACATAATTATGGGAAAACGCATTTTCCCTACATCGCGAAACTTGGAAATATGCTCAGATTTAGATTTTACCTTTTTTGTCATTAATGAAATCCAAGATCACCGCCTTTTGTCCATCTGATAATAGCTTATCAAGGCAATTAGGTACAAAGGCCAATCATAACATGCATGTATGCATTATACATACATGTACATATAAGTATGTGTGTGAATTTAAAAATCATGAGAACTTGATAAACAAACATTTAGGAAGAACTATCATATTTATGCCTTGCATCTTTCTGCATTCGACTACGAGATCCCATGAACCCTTCGAGGGTGATAATGATATACTAATATTGCAATAATTATTCGCACATGCACACACACACACTTGGCTGCAGTGTGGGCATGTTTAATACCTTTTTTGTAGATGGACTTTGCTAATGAAACTTTTAGATTGTGATTAATTAAAATGCATCCATTTGCAAAGCGCAAGTCTCTAGTATTTGAAATACGTTCTTTACAAATATAAAGGTGTTGGATGTCGGAGTGGGGGGTAAATTATAAAAAAAATCGAAATTCAATAAAATACATGTCTATATTTACAATTTGGACTCCAGGTCCAGGTGTAGGGGACATTCTAGAGACTTGTCTCTAGCTCTTCTATCTTTTGAGATCGATGCGTTCAAGCATACGGGCAGACGGACGGAAGGACAAAGCTAAATCGAACCCGATCAAAAATTACATATGTACATTATATTAACAAAACCATTATACCCTAGTTTCCCATTTTCAATGGGTTCAGTGTATAAACAAGTAAGAAAGCGGTTGGGCCGCGCTGCAGTGTTGGCAATATTATTAGAATTTATTTGTTAAATAATTTAATTTCTAGACGTTCAATCTTAATGAAACTTTCAGACCGTAATCATAATGCTTAAATGTATATACATATATACCGAAGCACAAGTCTTTAGTATTTAAAATACGCCTTTTATAAATATGAAGGTTAGAGGGTGGATATAGGAGTGGAGGGTAAATTTTAACAAAAATCGAAATTGTATAAAATGCATCTTAATATACATTTT